CCTTTAAAGGAGCTGTGCAACAATTTCAGGGCTTTGCTTAAATAATTGTGGAAGTTGGTGCCTGACACTTCTGCAGTGAACTACAGAAAACAGATTTTGCCTAAATACCCTACATTTTATTAAAAAAAATGAAAAAAAAAGATCCAGGCTTTTATTGCCTGTCAACTTGTACATCGTCTTCCGGGTCACGTGCGCAGTGACGTTACTTGAGTAGGCGCGGGGTTCCGGAAAAGCTCTCTCTTTAGAGCCATCAGTGAGCAGCCAGAACTCATCCGCTCGCGACCGCGTGACCACGTGCTGGCGGGCGCCCCGCGAAATATACAATGAGAGGAGTAAAGTCTCATTCGGGTCCGGCCATACCCGTCCTTGCCCGTCCGGCGCTGTCTCCCTCCCCCTCCGGCTTCTGTCGGCTATTCGCGGTTTTGTGGACCTAGGAGAGATGGCGCCACTAAAACTCCGTATAATAAAAGTTTTGTCGATGATACCAGGGTTTTGACACATTTATGTTGGAACGACAAGATTTATAGAAAAGTTACCTTTTATCGAGCAGGTATTCGCACAACTTGCAATCTTTTTTACAACCACCCAAGTGACGTCACGCCGCTTGTTTCTCATGGTCGCCGCTCGTGACTGCAGGTCAGAAAATATTCTAAGTTTTGCCTCGCTATTACGCGGCGGAATCGCAACATTTCGATGAAAGGAGGTGTGTTTTCTGCCATTTGTAACAAGGTGAACAATATCAAAAGCAGAAGACGCCAATTCTTTGAACGTTAAAATCGTTGCACAGCTCCTTTAACTATATTGCCATACAGTCGCGAGAGGTGTCGGTATATACTTATTGGAGTTCAAAACAACCCGAACTGTACAGTGTTTTCTCATCACACCTTCCTTGAAACCCAGTGGGTGTGTCTAAAGCTGTGTCTTCGGAGGCTATTAATTGGTGCATGCTACCGGCAGCCGAAACCTAATCCAAGTGATCTTCTTTTTATTTCATATAAAGTTGTTTGCCACATTGAACAAAGACTTAACCAAACGATGATCTCATATAGGCAGGTGATTTTAGTTTTTCCGGGATCAATCCGATGACTCTTGAACCACCTTCAAGTGTACAAATTCTGGTCATTGCAATGATTTTCTTGCCTTGGCAGAGTGTTTCGGATTGCACTAACTTCTAAATTCTTCTACCCGCAGTGACGTGGCTCTATATATATATTTTGTTAATAATCGGGGCTATATAAGCGCCATTAATATTCTTGACTTTTTTAGCGATCATGCAACTCTGCCGGTTTTTCAGGGTTCCTATTATGTTCACATCACCGTCAAAATTATCCAGATTATGCCCAAGGGTGAATACTGAAATACACAAGGGTGAAGCATGTACAAAACGAAAGCATCTAAACACATATGCTTATTGCGAATCAGCTGTAGTTTACGAGATGCTAACGACGTACCGGATAGCATATATCGGGAAGACGGGAAAAATACGCAACCAGGGAGCCAGGGAGCATCGCCTCTATGTGGTACGGTCTCCTTCGGGAAAGTTGGCCGTTTATTGAGTCAGCTACCCATCCTCTCCCGTACCCGATGAAACGCAAATTTTGGAAACTTGTAAACAAAAAGAGAAAGAAAAATCTTTGATGCTGTTAGAATCAGGGTGAAGGGCGATGAGGCAGGTATCTGCTGATCGTCAGTCCTTCTATCATGTACAGAATTTGAATTCATCTCGCGAGACGTTTGATTGTGAGCGAATGGTTCGCTTGGGAGTGTATATATATTCGTCTTTTCTGAATGAAAAATTCAGTTGACAGTAGCGCATCGTATCATCGAATTCTTCCTGTTGTCCTTGTTTTTTGGCGCTTTTCGAATCTAAGTTTATCTCACGAAAGGAAACCAGGACAACAATGGTACCGTTGACTGTTCTCCAACAAACTCAGACAATGAATTTTTCTGAAATCATCAAAGCAAGATTGAAAAAGATATGTAAATTTGAAACATTAAGCCAGCGTTAAAATAGCATCTTTACCGCGCTTTCACCCGTAACAAAAATGAATAAATAATAAGAACACTTAAGCTAGCAGAATTGATGCCTGATATTAGAAACTGCCAAAAGCAATAATCACAATCGCCCTACACCAACGCAAACGAAAAGTGTAATAAAACAAAATTAAACAATATGAAAAGCTACCATCGAGACAGCGAGGCTGAGCGAAGACCGATTTAGCTATGAGAAGTGGCATCGGATTCGAGGGAGCCCTCATTTTGGGTTGTGCCGGGCTTCCGCCCGATGGCGACACCGAATCTTGTCGTCGCGAACAGACAAAAGCGACTGCTCTCGCCGTGTTCTCCCCACTGCGACGTGGGCTGCGCGTTCGCTAATCGAAGCTGCTGCAACGTTTGTGGCAATTTTTTGTTCTGTGTCGTTTTTTTTTTCGTTTTTTTTTTTTTTTTTTTTTTTTTTTTACTTTTTATGTCTGACTATTGGCCCTCACTACCGAAGTCCGAGCAGCAGTGATACGCCAAGAAACTGCGCCTTGGCTGGATCGCCTTCGAGGACGTCTACGCCATGAGCACGGATCACTGGCGCTCCCACGCCAAATCCGCCATGTTGCTGCCGCCAACCTCAATGGCGCACGTTGTAGTTTGCCTGGTCTTTTTCCCGAACTTATTCACGGCCGACGCGGCGCAAGCGTACACGTTTCTCGAGGCATACAACTACTTTGAGCATGGTAAAAACGAATTGAGCGCTATGTGTACGAATGTATCGGGAGTCGTTCGTGTCGGAAGTTTAACTGCACTTTTTTACGGCACAAGCTTGGTACGAGACAGCAAGCTGGACGCCTTAAGGCGCCGCGTTGTGCGTCGTCCGAGATCAGGTGAGGCCGTCGCAGCGGGCAGCTGCTACACCTTACGATGCCTAGAAGTAGCGACCAACCGAGAGCTTTTGGGCGGCAATTTGTGTGCAAACATCGTAGGAGCGAAGTCCGGGTGGTCTTTATCAGATGACGTCCCTACGCAGAGAAGTGCATCAGCGCTGGGAACAACGATTGCAGTTGAAGCTACGCACTTACCTTCACTAAAGGCTTACCACACGAGTGGTCATCCATGCGAGGCGAACTTTTTTCTCGATCCACGGAGGTTATTCATTAATTGCGCTGTCGGCGTGCACCTGGAACTTGTGGAAGCTTACTCCACTACTTTTGCAGTTCCTTTTGACACAACCAAAAGCCGCGGAGCTTTGCGGCCGGTCGAAATGCTGCGTCGCACGTGCAAACTGCTCGCTGTTGTAGCCGCACCTCGCCCGCCTGGTCGATCAGGAGCAATCGCAGTGTATACGTATAGACCTTTGCATCGCTTATTATCCGGGCGAAAAATGCTGAGTCACTGAGCTATGGACGCATGCTCAGCGTCTGATGCCCCGCAAAACAGAGCTACAGCGCATGTTCAGAAGGCGTTCCACAGCCCAGCAGATAAAGATGGCAGCGCAGAAGGCGATTTTTGCGAAAGTCTAAAGACCAACACTCGGCTCCGGCTTCTCCCAGCTGCGGTGGCGCTGTAGTCGGCAAGGCACACGTGCGGACACTTGTGAATGTGTGGAATTTGTTTCTGTGCACAAGCAGCACTCACACGTGTTGGCAAACGCGGGTTTGTTTGTCCACAGCGTGTTAACGTGTAGTCACTCTCATGGTTAGGTTGGTGGGGAGTCTCCCTCGAACGCCCAGCCTTCAGCGCGCGCTCATTGGACTTCGCTGTGCTTAAGCTTCGAGTGGACGCTCGAGGTTCACAAGACAAAGAAGGATCAAATAAAATAGGGATAAAGTAAATGCATCCCCCCTTCAATTCACTACAATGTGTTACTTCGACAATGAAAGGAAAGTTTGTTTTTTGTAGCTCACTTTGGGGGGGGGGGGGGGGGGGGTGGAGCGGTTGACTGTAGCAGAAACGATTGCTGTCATTCAGAGTTCGCTGGTTTGAATGCGACTCGAAAGACAAAATTTTTGTTTTCTTATAAGTTCAGCGGCGGGTGCGCAACTTGAAGCCTCAGGTGCTGTGGCTGGAAGCGATGAAATGATTGATGACGCTCTCGGGGTGGGGGTTTTCGCGAAGGACATGCATCCAGTTTAACCGGAAGTTTCTCTCTAACAGCTCTTACTATAAAATAGGAGACGGACAACTGTACCTACTGTTTTTTTTTTTTTTAATCAGCATTTGTTGACAACAGTCACTTTTCTAGTATTTCCGCCCACATCACAAAACCACGTTTATTTTAAACTTCTGCGGAGAAGGGGCAAGTTGTTCTTATTTTTTTTGTGAGCTGTATTTTTGTTGTTGATAAAACCTGTTCACACAAACAACGCAGCTATCTCAGTGCTATACACACCGCTGTGAATCGGCGCTATTTCAGCAGCTTGTTGTATGTCACTGGGCCTTTTCCAGTTTGTGCTTATAATGCGCCACACAGGCGCAAAGCAAGTGCTAATATCGCGCATACTTAACGCTATCTCAGCGCTGCGCTTCCTTTGTGAACAGGTATTTGTGGTAACATATTAGATCTTGCGGCTAGCGCCAATATATTGGCAAAGTACCAAACTAAGGCTACCACGTCGAGCGATTTTTTTTGTCGTTGCTTGCTTTGCGTTTTGTTTTGAAGCATGAGAAAAGTTAATAGGCAAGGAAAACTTGCGTACGTGGTTCTTTCTTTCTTGCCGATATATTTTATATTTTCTTCCTCCCTCATTGACACATGAAAATCCTATTAGTGGAACTTAGTCTACTGAAAATAGTTCGCCTCTAGATAGCATTTTGTTTTTATAGTTAGTTGTTTGGTTTCATTTTAAGTAAAATATATATCTCTATACTGTCTCAGATCCAGCCCATATTTCGGCAGTAATGAGCAACTTAGTGCACTAAATCCTCCGCTTCTATCATATGGTACGCTTGGGGATATCATTGCTTAGGATATTTTTTGCTCATCATGATCTATGATTCTGTCTCCCTCACAGATAAACTTGTGGGCTCAAGACTGGGCAGAACAAAACGCTGCTCAGGACAGTATGCAACACCGATCGAACAATCCTTATGGCGAAAATCTTTACTACTTTGGGCCATCGCCAGCTCCCAAAGGACCAAACCGTTAGTGAGCCTTATATATTAAATTAAACTTTTAGCACGTTTAAGCAAAACATAAAATGTAGAAATAGCACCCGACAATTGCAGCAACTCAAATTTTTAACCAGGATGCCGAATTTCAGCGTTAACGACCCTGGACTTATTCCGTCGTCAGAATTCATAATATTTACACCTACGTTATGTTACGTTTATAGAATTTTACTCAACGAAACCTATGCAAAATTTTACTCCAGAGGCTCTTGAGAAGGGTTCATTTTACTTAGTGATCCATCTAGGAGTTCACGCGTGTTTTGTGTTATATGATTAGGACAAAGACGGAACGCTTGTAACGTAAAACACATAAGATGTTTGCAAAACTGAGACAGCTGGAAACAATTATATAAGAACGGGAAAAGTGCAAGCAAAAGGTTAGGGTAAAAAAGAAGAGGGAGAGAAAGAGCAGGAGACGAAGAGCGCGAGAGAACATCAGAGCTCAGATCTTTGGTTGGAATTATTAGGGGGTAGACGGCAAGCTAGCTCATTTGTCTGTAGTCACTCGTCGAACGGCTCGAACACGTTCGAAACCGTTCGACGAGTGACGAGAGATAATGATATTTAGCTTTTCATGTGCCCACTAATCTATCCAGTTAGAGCTCTGCGTTCTGGCGTCCCAGCGCACTTCCATCTCCGCCTCTCCCTCAATTTCTACTTATAGATGACAAACGGAGGAGCAAACGGTGTAAGCAACAGATCATGGGGAAGGCGCGAAGCTCAGGGATTCTGCAGAAATCAGTAAGAAAAATACCTAAGTAATGGGAACCATTACTTCCGTGATGCTTCTCGGCTATCCTGCCGTAAAACGGCGATTTATCACATAAAGGACAAAAATCGTACTACGAGATGCAAGTTTATAAATACGTTACTTGGTTTATTGACTTAAAAGCGTGTATATTCGGCAGTTGACTGCCCACCAGCTTAGTTAAGAGGTTTGGTTTTTCTTTTAGGGAATGAGCGAACACCGTTATAAAATATAATGTTTCTCGTAAGACGAATTGTAGTCCACAAACAAATACTTAACAAAGAAGAAAAAAGAAACAGAAAACAATACCACATAACCTACTCTAGTTCTGAGATTACTCAGTTTTTGAATAGCTTAAGGGTGGACACTACCCAGAAAAAAAAAAAAAAACTGCAAAAAACGATGAGTTTGAAAAATTACATATCTATATCCACCAACACGTAGAGAGTATTTTTGAAAAATTTTCACTAGTTTACACTGCATAGTTAATTTTTTATAAATTATTCTCTGTCCACCGAAGGTAAAGGAAACGTAGGGTTTGGAGCACTTAGAACACAATTTTCTCCGTTCCACATTTTGGTATAAAGTCCATTTTAGTCAGCCAATCGTTTGATAATGGCAATACAGGGAAGGCTCGTTCTTCACTTTTCCTGACTAAACTTTAATCAGGAATGCGGCTATGGAATGTTTTTGTCACTTTACAGATGTCTTTTATAAAAAAAAATGTTGACATTTTGTCAAAGACACAGAAGACCAAGAGGTTGACCAATTTCGCAGAAGAGAAAATAGACAGAAATTAATGACTTTTTACAAAAACCTTTCCATAGACGCACCTCCTAGGCATTCTGCTACATATCTAGCGAATAAAAATCTTGAATATCGTGATAGTTTTCCGACGATAGATTAACTAAACAATATAGGCGTATTGCTGATAAAAGCTGCCCTAATTTCCTTCCCACTTAACCGACAGCCATGCAATTTTGTTATGCACCCTCTAGCGTGACCACCAGCCTGCCCTGTAAAGTTCATTAATGTTAAGTCAAGGGTTCAAAAGTTGACCCTCCTAGGGGGTGTGTCCCCTTAAAGACAGAAACATGTCAATTGAAGGTGATGAAACACGATTATACGAGACTTCCATATGGGTGACATGCGAGAGCAGAGGTGTTGACTTTGCTGTGTATAGTCGATGTTAACCAACTCAGTCTAACTATCGGGTGTCTGAAATATCGGCCAGGCTCTTGAAATCGACCGCAAAATTCGGTTCTTTAACCTAGAGCGCTACAATTTTGTGCCTCATTCCCCATAGGTGGTGCAGTTTTTCTATCAATTTGCAGAAACCGAACTTATCGGAGGGAAAAGTAAAGACAGAAAAAAGCTTAAATCCAATGGAAACCCAGCGAGGCCACCGGTCTTTAATCAATAGTGCGCCCTGGGAGTTCGGGGATCTCAGACAGCTCCGGCACTTTCGGCGGTGGCGACGCAGCGCGACGGCTCACAGGTCTACCACGTGACTAGCGGCGCCTTGCGCAGGCGCGAACTAAATTCGTTCCGCGCCAAATATATATATCTAATTTTTTTATACGAAAGCGTTAACTGTCTAATAGACCGAGCTGACGTCATCAGCCTGAAGCGCGAAAACGGCAGATAGTTTCCATCGGTTCCATTGGATGACGTGCGACGACGGGGCTCCCATTGGCCGCTGCGCTCGTCAAGTTCCACGACCGCTCACCCCATGGCGCTGCGTATCCATCAATCAGCGCGCCGTTGCTCCCCTGGGCATGGTGACCTTGGACGCTTCATGCCCAGGGGAGCACACGCGCTGACCGGCGACGAGAAGTACGCAGCAGACGACAAAGGGAGCGGACGAGCGGCCTGTATGCTTTCGCATTCATAACTCATAAGGCATGCTTAAATGTACCTCGATCTTTCTTCTTTTTTTTCCCCGTTCTAAAATCATTTTATAACATGTTTTTTCCCCTTCGGGCTGCTTAAAAAAATTTCATGCATATGTCTTCTAAATATTTTTAAGAAAAACAAAATTTTCCGTTTCATGGTCCTAATTATTAGATGTAAAAATTGTATAAAATTTAAAATATAAATATTTACGAAATATGCCTCGCGATTCACTTCTACAATCAAAATACAAATTCTAGTAAGATATTATTAATCTGTTGAAGATAGATGGAAATTCCAACAACATATTAGGAAAACAAAACTAACGTTATCTGAACTAAGCGTTATTTGTGGGATTCCATACGCACAATGTATCAGGAAAAATGACTAAAGTTGTTGCATTCTAGATTACATACGTAAATGTCGCTTTAGTAAATATTGTTATTAGACCTCCGATTTCTCTTCAAATTTTTTACTAAATTTAGTTTCAAATCGCAATAACCTGTCCAAATAATAACTACGGGATGTCGTCGATACAATGCATTTCAGCGGTAATGCAATAATCTTCCAAGTTTCCCTGCGTGAGGAACAAAATCACCACGTAGTACGCAATAATTCAAAGCTTTTTGATCAGCAAGAAACATATCTTGAAAATCACATGCCACTTAAAAATACAAATCATGCTGGCTTTGCCCACGTTTAAGTCCTAAGGATTGTGTCATTATTTTCTTTTTAGCAAAAGATGTGGTCAAAGCCTGGTACGACGAGATCAAGGACTACAACTTCAATAATGGGGGGTTCAGTGGCGCAACTGGCCATTTCACTCAAGTAGTGTGGAAAAATTCCACAAAGCTGGGCTGCGGCTGGGCACGTTCCTATCGCAATAACATCTACGTCGTGTGCAACTACAGTCCACCAGGAAATTATATGGACAAATTCAAGGAAAACGTTCTCAGACCAAAAAAATAAATTGACAATAAAGATATTACTGGTGTGAATTTCACCATACAAATTTAAATGAACGAAAATTTATTTAAATATACCGCTAGAAATAAGCAAAACAAACTTGTCATTTCTTTAGAGTGAACACTGTACTAAATACAGTACGATTCAGAAGAGGTTGCTTCCGGAAACAGTTTATTGCCTTCCATGCAAAGATGAAGCCCCAATATATTACTAACTAGATATTCTCTAGCACAATGTTTTTATAAATAAAGTTTATAACGTTTTCGTTTTTTTTCTAAGCTTTCATCAGTTTTTTGTTCTTTTTTATTCTACTGTATGTTGCAAGCAAAAAAAAATAATCACAACAGGGATTCACGCTCGGAAATAACTGTAGAAAATAGCCTATTGCATGACTGAAATTCGCATACACACTTGTCACAGTACATCGAATGAAGAATCCTTGCCTGTCGTCGCTCAACCACTATTCAGTCTCTTGTGCTCCATTCTTGCAAATGTGCATGAGCTTGTCGAAAGACCCCCGCAAGGGGCACCGGTGAAAGTAGGTGTTGGGAGAGTGGCCTCTCCACGGACCCCGAGGCCCGGGGGGGAAGGAAGGGGGGGGGGGGCTCCTGCACCTCAGGTGCTAGGTGCTTGGTGAGTAGCGTCACCATGGACGCCAGCCACGTGGGCCACCATAACCGCACGCAGGGGGCACATACTTTAGTAGGTGCTTGGTGAGTGGCGTCACTACTAGCCCCAAGCCATGTGGGTTCGCCCACCCACGACTGGCTGTGCGTGGCGTACCCGTGTTCGGGGAAAAGGTGATCTTTGCAGTTGAACTAAGCCCGGGGTATGTTTGGACCCTTCGGGGCCCCCTGGGCAAGGCAATACACCGCTTCGGCCCCTGCTTCTTGTAGACGGGTGTTCTGGCTTGGCCCGACCAGGATGATTCAGTCAGTCGCCTCTTCTACCCTCTTCTTCCTTGTTTCACTTTTCCTCCCACATCTTTCTCTTTTCATCTACACTCTCTTCCTTCCCTTTTCGCCTTCTTAGGCGGCAAGGGCCAACCTTGAGTGGAAACAGGTCCTGTTCCTGCAACCACACTAGGGTATAGTGCCCGGGCAGCGCTTATAGTGTAATTTTGTTAGCCAAGCCTTTCTTGCTATGGCACATTACCTACCCCCTTGTTGGGCTCCCGGGCACTGAACTTCCTTTCCCATCTATATGGGTTCCAAGCACAGCAAAACCTCCGAGCGGTCCCTGAAAAGGGTCCGCAACGAAGCTCTGTCCAATTTCCTTAGTATAAATGACTTAAGTGACCACTTTACGAAAATTCTTCGTCGCACTCTGAAGAAAACTCCAAACCACTCTCTAAGCTTTCTCCATTTATTGTTGCTACGGTGCTGCAAGACATCTTGGGAGGTAAATTTGGAGAAAAAAGGCTCTTTTCAGGTGATCTCCTCGTACATGTGAATGAAAAATACCAAGCTAAGGCCTTACTCAACCTTGAAACCATCCAAGATATCGAGGTCACCGTGTCCGCCCATCGTACACTGAACACCGTACGCGGTGTGATCGCGGAGGATGACCTAATGGACAGTCCTGAGAATGAAGTTCTGGAGGGCCTTCAATCCCAAGGGGTTGTTGCTGCGAAACGGATTAATATCTGAAGGAACGGCAAGGAACAACCCACCAAGCACGTTGTATTGACTCTCGAAAGGAACAATTTGCCACCCTCTGTTAAAGCCGGTTACATCAACTGTAAGGTGTGGCCCTACGTCCCAAATCCTCTTCGCTGCTTTCGTTGCCAGCGGTACGGACATGCTTCGCGCACTTGCCGCGGTCGTGAGACATGCGCCAGGTGTAGCGGCACCGAGCACACTGCTTACGACTGCAACGCAGATTACAAATGTGCAAATCGCAATGGCAACCACCCAGCCTATTCGAGAACATGTGACCAATTTAAAATGGAAAAAGAAATTCTCGCACATAAGGGGAAAGAAAACATATCCTATCATGATGCAAAGCGTCACCTCTCCGCTTTTCAGAGAGGCTCTTACGCCAAGGCAGTGTCCAGCAGGGAACCTGCACCGCCTAAGGTGTCAGTGGCGACCCAGGTGTCCCTTGGGAGCCCTGGGAAACCACTCCAGTCCTCGACGCCCAGGTTAAAGTTCTCTCTTCCTGGGCATTCCCTCTCGGCTGCGAAAGCAGCTAAGGCTCCCAGTCATGCCAAAGACTCGGGTGCAACAGAGGCGATGGATGTAACTCCATCGCCCACTCCTCGCAGGTCGTCCTCCCAAGAGGAGCGAGCCCCCCGTTCCTCCTCTCAGAGCAGGACTTCCTCACCACGCAAACAGCACGTTCCACGTGCAGCTCCCGCAGCATCTACAGAACCCGACCAGATGGACGGATCGGTGGTTCTGCCTTGCACGTCGACCACTCGCTTTAAAGTGTTAGGCAAAGTCCGGGGTCTGCCCCCCAAAAACACTGACTATTCGAGGTCTTCTGACAGGCTTGCTGACAAGAAGACGTCGAATACCGAAGCAATGGCAGACTGTGAAGAACTTTCTGCCCCTGACACTGACCTCGAGGAGATGGAGGTTCAGACCCCAAAGCAAAAAGCTAAAAAGCCGGTAACTCCACCCTGATAAAACTCTATAGTAGCAAGGCTTTTCATAATCCTACACAACCACAACAACAATATATGTGTGACTCCTCCATGCAACTAAGATAGCCAAGAGCCATTATTAGCTTGGTTAATCTTATGCACATCATACAGTAGAACCGTAGAGGGCTACTTTGTAACTACGATGATGTCTACAATTTGTTGGAGGAACACAGCCCCATAGCTCTTTGCCTTCAGGAGACGTACCTGAAATATAGCCACTCTAACCTACTAAAGCGCTTCAAGCTATTTCGGAAGGATAGGCCATATGGATCCCACGCTTCTGGTGGCGTTGCCATAATAGTCCAAAGATCAACTCCTTGTGTTGTGGTGTGCCTGGACATCAAACTGGAAGCAGTTGCTGCAAAAATTTTAACTGATCGTGCAATAACTATATGTTCATTATATATACCTCCTAATTATTCATTGAAACATGAAGAACTTGAAGCCCTTGTTAGACAACATCCACATTCATTTCTTATCCTTGGTGACCTAAATGCCCACAATCCCTTGTTGCGGAAGTAACAGACGGGACACGCGGGGAGTTATAATAGAACGATTTCTGCTCTCATCAGATTTATGCTTGATGAATAAAAAAGAACCCACTCACAACAGCTTTTCGTCGAACACTTTTGATGTATTGATCTTGCGATAGCTGATCCAAGCTTATTCCCTCTCTTTACGTGGTGGGTTATACAGAACCCATATGGAAGCGATCACTTTCCAGTTGTCCTTGAGCGTTGCCCCCCGCCCCCGACACTGCTTTAAGAGAACCAAGGTGGAAGTTTGACAAAGCTTTACCCAGTCCTCACTTCTTCAACTTCAACTTTATTGTTTTTCTCCAGGGGAGAGGGGGAGGGAGAAAAAAAATCAGACTGTTGTCGCTTTACAGCGTTTCTCCTCCCCACCAGCAACAAGAGAAAACTATATTACATACTAGTGACCCGTGGAACAAGGTTTACATAGGATCAACACACACAACATTAAACAAAAAACAAAAAAAACAAGAAAAATTTGGCGTACTTTACGAACACTTTTTTGCAGGTCGGAGGTCCCATCAAGAATAGGCTCAAATAACACTAGAGAAAGAATGAACGAATATCCTTTCTGCTTAAACCCATCAAGTCCGTGCCCAGTCTATGTGTACAATTTATAAAATTAGAGAACGAGTGCTGCAACATCTGGAGGCCGTAGCCTGTTCTCGAGCGAGGCGTTGACCATGCGTCAACACAACGTCCTGCATATGCAGGCACTCTCCGCTTCATATTGGCGATTGAGAGAAAAACAAGTTGATTTTTCCTTACAGACGTTTGATATGTTAGAAGTTTATAATTATAATGCTCTGTAATTGGAACTATATGAAGGCTTTTGAAAAGTTGTAATGTGTGAGCGTTGAACTCCGAATTGCACGTAATTCGAATTATTCTCTTCTGGAGAACGTGCAAGTGATGCATATTTGTAGCCGTTGTGCTACCCCAAACAAGGAAGCAGTAATTATAGCAAGAGTAAAAGAGGGAGTTATAAAGAAGAATTAAGACCGAAAGGTGTAATATATGACGGGATTTATAAATAATGCCCACAACTTTTGAAAGTCTGCCAGCTATGCATAGTACTTCGGCGTCCAAGCTCATGTACTCATTAAATATCGCACTAAGAACCCTAACATTTTGTACAAAGTCAATATTTTGTCCTTGGAGAGAAAACCCTTGAGTAGACGGAAACACTGTATTTTTGGATCGAAAAAGTATTGCTTTCGTCTTATCTGTATTCATTACTAGGGAGTTTGAGATTGTCCAGTCACTGATCTTCTGCAAAACATTTTCTATCTAGTGTCTTCGTTTTATTTCGAGCTTTTTCATAAATTATGTACCAAGAGCCCAGATTAAAATTCTGTTATAATTGGTACCCTTCTTTCGCTCTTCCTCTTTACACTGAACTCACTTAAACGGACACTTACACCCCCCCCCCCCCCCCCCAAAGAAAAAGTTCGATTTTTTGCCAGGCGATTTATTTTGGTGTTGAAAGACTACATAATTAATATTTTGCAACAGAGTCACATATATTTTTATTAAAGCCCGAAAACTCAACTGCTCAAAACCGAAACTGAAACCCGTGCACGGAGAAGTGAAGAGGAGAGAGTGAGTGGGAGAGGTCACGTGGCTACACCCGACCGTGAGCTTTTTTGTTTTCCCCTCCGTGTCCTTTTTTTTTGTGTGTACAGCAGACGACATGCATGGCTAGAACTGTTTGCTATGCGATTCCTTTGCAGTTATGTTTGTTCCGCTCTCTGTTCTGCACTTCAAGATGAGTTGTTCTGTACATTGAGAAGTTGGAGATGAGTAGTGAGTCCCCGTGGTGA